ACACTAGCAAATGCGGAACTTTGAAAATTTTAAAATTCCGGGACTGAATTCGCCTTGGATGCGAGTATTGACTGGATTTCGGATATCCCATGTAGAAATTTTGTACAGGATTTTGGATATCTCATGACTGAATTTTGGATACTGGATATCCCATGTATATGTATAGTTGTTTTAGGAGTCAAAACATTAATTCTAACAAACATTTTTACGTTTCAGAGCAAGGGGAAAGTCCGTGAATTTACTTTAATTACTTTAATTAAGTTCTAAAGTTGAAAAAAAGCACATCCACAAACCCCGTCGTTATCACGCCTTTTGACAATCGTGATACGCCGCATCTCATCCTCATCTTCGTTTTCATTATCCAGCAACAGTTTCCGACCCAGAACACTCCGCGAATATGTAATATTAGTGGCAGCGCAACGCTTTTCAACGGCTACTTGCACTTCTTCGCTTTGATCAACTTTAACTGGCAAGATTGACACTCCAAAATCATTGTCTTCGCGCTTCACAGGCTGCCCTAAAGTGACAGAGAATTATCATACACGCAACAAAATTGAAATAAAAAATTATGAGAAAGACAAAATTTCTTGAATTTTTAATAATTTTTCTGAATTTTTTGATTTTCAAAAATTTATTCTTGAAATGGCGACTCGACATTTTTTACAAATACATCTCTTAAGAATAAACAAGATTTCCTAGTAAGTCATACTTTTTTCGGTCGACCCAGTGCACGAAGTTTCGTTCGATAAATGCTTCATACTATTGCCTGGCTGTAAACTCGTAGTTTTTTGTACCACGCTAAAAAAATGAATTAAAAAAAAGTACTTGATAAAAATAATTAAAAAACAGTCAATGTGGAAGAAAAAACTCCTATTCATAATTCAAAAGTCGAAGTCAAAACTGTTTCTTTATTTACTCTCTTTAAAAGGCAAAGGCTTGAGCGGTAGCATATGACAACAGTAACCGTCCTCTGGAAAGGATTCCGATAAGCAATATTTTAAATCCTCGATGTGAATCAGTACTAATTTATCATCGATACAAATGAACGAATCGTAAAGGGATTGGGCCACTCAATGGCGGTTTTTGTAGGAAAACAGCGCTACTCATTGCTGCGTTGTACTCGTTAACATGTGATAATGCATTATTTAAAACAGCCAATAACTATGTACATTAGTTACACCGACACCGTAAACTATAAATACTTATTAGTAGTAATAATTCAACGAGTGTTAAACAGAAATGTTTGAAAAAAAAAAACAGATGCTGGGAAGCAAAAAGCTCTTCCATCCACTATGGTGTTTTATAATCTATGTACACAGATTTAATGAGTAGAAACTAAAAAAACATTTAAAAAAAAGTCAATTTCAGCTCAAAGAAAGAATTCATATGATATTTCGAGGACATACCTTGCCAGACCTGTCTTTGAAAAAAAAGCAATTGCTGGGAAGCAAAAAGCTTTTTCATTCACTACGGTGTTTTACAATTTATGTACACAAATTTAATGAGTAGAAACTAAAAAAAACACTTAAAAAAAGTCAATTTCGACTCAAAGAAAGGATTCGTACGGTATCTCGAGGACATACCTTGCTTCAGAATCATCGTTACGTTTATCATCAGAATGATGCGCACTGGTGGCAGAGGAAGTGTTTTTCCGTTGCTCACCGGTGGGGAATTTCATCGATGCAGTAGTGAAATTTTCATCAAGCACATGAAATTGCCGGCTCACTGGTGGC